CTATAAAAGAATTGAAGTGACTTTGTTCTTTTAGAACGAGACATTTTCTTTCTCATCACTGTATGACGTGGACATCAGTTTGTGGTCTCGACTGGTCTTGATTTGAAAATCCAGAGTCCCGCCAGTCCGAGACCGAGACAAGGCTGAGTAAAAATGCACTCGATTCCCGAGATGAGACCTTCAAAAAGTGTTTCAGTCTTGGGACCAAGCTGATTTTGAGTTCTACAACACTAGACAATAGAATGTAATAGGCAAGAAACTGTAGTTACATTCTCCAAAAGAAATATGCAAAGATCAAAACTGTTGCACGCCTGGACATAAAAGAGAGTCGTAGAGAGGCGCACGCTGTGGTCTGCACCTGTATTGATTCACAGACTTGATGTACTCTGAACTTCCTCAGGTTGATTCCCCATCAGAATCAACTCTGTGTTGTTTACCTGTTAGGATTTGCTTTTCTCATTTCCTCGGTCTCTTCTGCGCTTTTTCAGGACTGAACGAGATGCAACAAACTGGTCGTCGGACAAGTTAAAATCCCTCGTCCTCGGTTGACGTCGAGAACGACGAGGGGAGCTGCGAGGTGACAGAAGTCGGAAAGTTGGAAGGAGAAGCCTCGATTAACAACCGCAAAGGGAAACTGATTTTCTTCTATGAGTGGAACATGAAAGCTACTTGGACTGGTGAGGACACATTGAGGCAGATGTAGATTTTGTTTTTGACCAAAATTCCTGTTTTCTTTTTTTTAATAAGGTCATTTATGTGGCGGTATCGTCGGCATCCTGTAGCACGCTACTGAAAAAAACCTAATTTGACAGTCAAATGTGTCCGATAACAAAACTCAGAAAATTGTCAGATGATGATGAAACCCCTTTTATTATAAAGATTGTAAAAAGAGGAAGGAATAACTTCTGCTAACATCTGCATTCTCTCTGTCTAACCAGGAACGTCAAAAGCAGGAGTGAAATATAAAGGAACTGTGGAAGTTCCCAACCTGTCGGACGAGAACGACATGGAGGATCTTGATGTAAGTTTCACAAACAACGAGCACTCAGTTACATGAATTTTAAAAGTTTTGTAGAGCGGTGTTGTGACCCCTCCAATTTCACCTTCTTCCAGATTTCAGTATCGCTGAATAAAGATGAACCCGAAACATCGCTGACCCACCTGATGAGGACGGAGGGAGCAGATAAAATGCGTAAAGCCCTGGCCAGCTACGTTGATTACTTAAAAACAGGCGAGTGAAAAACGGTCACATTCAGGGGACATTCGGATCCACCAGCTGTGAACAACTGGTCATACTAAATTCAATTCCTCAGTGTAAAGTGTCGGGGTTTACACAGTGACTCTGTGTAATAAATGAGTTAATAAGGGCTGTCTGGGAAAAATAAAACAGTTTAACAAAAGCAAATTGAAATGATGTGATAATAAAAAGTAAGCGCACGAGAATTTAACTTCTCTTACCATATTAAAGATAAACAGCAGAAACGATAAATAGAGAAGTCAGACTAAACGCTCTGAATTTTTATATTTTAAAGGACTTTTTGTAAAAGGCTGTTATTCAGTCTGATTATTAAAAGTTGTATTTCAGCTTATTTTGTTCCTTTTTTTTAAACGACAGAGTTCACACAGGGAATGATCCTGCCTACAGCAAACGGCATGGCCAAGATTCAGTCCTCTTCACAATCAAAAGCCAAGATGGACAGAACTCAGGTTTGTGTTCACAATCCATCAAAAAGGTTTCTACATTTCACATCTTCACACCGACCTCAATTATTTACAGTAACGATGCATCAGTTATGAACCTCACTGTGTTTTCCTTCAGGCGGTGCAGTGTTTCTTTCCTCACCAGACTTTTGTTCCTTTTTGTATGAAACAGATTTCCTCCTCCAGCAGCACAGCTGCTCCAGTCAACACCGGCGTCAAGATCCCCACCTGTAAATTCAGCATCAGGGAAAAGTTCCTCACCTCCCCGGCTGATCTCTACAGGGTCTTCCTCCACCAGGAGGTGAGCTCCGTCTCTTTACCCGCCGTATCTCACCCTGCTCGGATTAAAACAACCTTTGATGAGTGGTAAAATAAAGACCGTCTGTCTGATTGACGTGTTTCTCTCAATCTGTAGATGGTCCAGGCGTTCACACACGCTCCGGCCACAGTGGAAGGAGAGCGGGGCGGAAAGTTTCGTCTGCTAGAGGGAAATGTTTTTGGTGAATTCTCAGAGCTGGTAAGACTGAAGATTAAAGTGTGTATACACTCGATTATCAACAATGTGAAGTTCAAGAATGATTTGACTCTTAGGGGTTGTGGTACACGTTCTTATATGAAATGGTTTTAATTAAACTTTACAATGAAATCTCTCTTCATCAGGTACCTGATGAGAAAATAGTGATGAAGTGGCGATATAACAACTGGCCCAGTGGTACGTTTATGTTTTTTGTTCAGTTTTCATGTTGTGTCATGACGGTGATCGCAGCTGTGGTGTCAAAGGATTACTAAAGTGTCTTTCTATAAAGAAAGTGGGACATGAGGTCCTTGACCCGAGTCACTTTATTTATTTGTTGTTAATCAGAAATTGTAAAAGTTGGAACTTTTGAACCCCCGATATCAAATATGAGCGCCCGAGTCACCTGTTGAGAATTTGACCCGCCAACTTCACAGTAAAACGTTTCTAACAAACACGACCTCTGACCCTGTTTCTTCTCCACAGAGCATTACGCAACAATCACGCTGACCTTCTTGGACCGGAGCAGCGAGACGGAGCTGAAGGTGGAGTGTCGAGGTGTCCCAGAAAACGAGGAGGAGCGGACGAAAGAGGGCTGGAAGAGATACTACTTCGAGGCTATCAAACAGACTTTTGGCTTCGGGGCGCGGCTCTTCTGAACACGGCTCGCTGTAGTGCTGTTTCCATTTCCGTTTGTTTTTTTGTTGAATTTTTTAAACATGCTTGTCCTTCAGTCCCGTCTTTCTCGACGTGTCCAAACGTAGAAACTTCAGGCACGAGTTCAGGAAAGAGACGACGAGGCCAGTCTGTCACCCGAGTGTGTGTACGTGTAAATGTTTTAATTTTGAACATATTTAAATTTCTCCCCGTCAGTATTCTGCTCAGTTGTTCAAAGCGCTAGATGGACGGTGCTTTTGGGACTGTGGATGGAAAATGAAATAAAGAAAATAAGAATCTATTGAACCACTTTTGCTAATTGGCCTGCGATGAAATAAATCTGTAATTACTGCGACAGATGAAATAACTGTGGGATTTGTTTTGTTTTAAAAGCCTGTTAAATTTTTTTTTTTCTACTCTTCAGATGTAACTGTAGTAAAGATGCTGTCAGCCAATATGCATGTTTTATTTCAGACTGCCAGACGGAGGAGCGACTCCTGGATTTGAACTATTCTCGTGAAGTCTGTCACTTAATAGCTGCACAGTTCTGTACTTTGATTATGGTTTCATTCAGACTTGATTTTACGCACTTCACGAGCCCGACGTCTGCCCGGTGTGATCGGATCGGCCCGGACTTTTCAGCAGGAAACGATACCGCTAATGTTTGTCACTGTCGAGATAAAGAAGAAGAGCTTCACCTCTTCATGCAGGAAGCTAGATTTAGTAGCAACCGCTGAGAGATGTTTTTCTTTATTCTCCATCAAAAAAATGTACATTTTCCAGTCAAAAGTTTTCAGAACAGACGCGTCTATTTATTCATTGATTCATCATTCACGCTGTAAAAAGATTAGCTGGTTGGAATAAAAACCGATCCTTGTATGCGTTTGATTTGTTTTTATTTGTGAGAACACTCAAACTTCTTCACATTTAATTATTCAACCACAGACGTCTGTAGAACAAGATCTCTGCTCACCTCAATGTTTGACAGGTGTGAGGGAGGAGGGTCAAACTTAAAGGCTCCAGCACGATGTCTCGCTTTATACCGACATATTTATCAAATCGTCAAACGTTTCAGTCGAGCCCACCTTCATGAGGTAGAAGATGAATATCTACAGGTCGGTTTGACCGAAACGTTGAACGATCAAATTCTCATTGTCAACCACAGACGTGAAAATAAACATTTATTACAATTTGAACACACTTCATACCCAAAGGTTTACTGTCTTTAAAACGTTAATTTACAAATCCTTTAAAAATTAAACGCTCAAAAACAGAAAACGCAAAGGCGGAAAACATGCAGTTTGGCTCTTAAGGCTTCCGTACACTGTAAAATAGTTCGTCTGACATTTCAACCACAGCAACATTATTTAACCATCTTAACTGAAACATGATGGATTTCTTTTTTAAATGAAAGGAAACAAAAGATTGAAGCGATCTGCCTGATCAACACAAATATATCAGAATCTAAAATAATTTAAAGTGTTTCTCTGCATTAATAAACGAGCAGAGTATTTACATTTTCACTCTTAATACAAATCTGCTTTGAACAAAAAGAAAACAGGCTTCACTACAAAACAAGAGGTACACTAAAACGTGAAAGAAAACGACCCGAAACAAAATCGATCAGCAGAAAAAGTTATAAAATATGACATAACTTAAATGTTCTCTTCCCAGAATAATGCTTTTTCTCACAGTTAATATTCCTATGATGAATGTGTATGTTAAACTGGACCAGCAGAGCGTAATCAAAGACAAACTTTCAAACAAAAGTGACAAAAAGTACGGTTTGTGAGTTTCTTCAGGCTGCACGTTCACACTCAGAGGCAGATGTAGAGCTCGGACTCCTGCAGGGAAAAAAAGAGACAAAGAGAAGTGAATAAACTCAAAAACAAGAACATCTTCGACTGACTCAAACCCCTTTTCATCCACCTAACAACAACTGCCTTTCCTCCGGTTTCCATTGGACAATTCTTTTTACCTCAATTGAGGTCAGGATCTAAAAATAGTGAAGTTGTCAACTCCTTTATTTCCACTGAGTGTAATGCACATTACAGCCACATGGGGTCGCTATTGTAACTTTTAGCTGTTGGTTGTCTCTGGATGAGAGAATCTGAAACACAGTTTATGACAAAAAGACATTCAAATAGATTTTTTTTTTAGCTAAACTAACACCTGGGTTGAGACAGGTTGAGAATTTGGGGTGTCATGTTGGGTTTCTATGGTTACCAGGTCATTCAGAGATTGAGGGGAATTCAATCTCTGATAAGCCCGCAAATGAGTCTCTCTTAAAACTCTCTTGAGATGATTGTTCCTTTGGGGAGAAGTGAGAGAATGGGATGTTATTTCTCTCTGCAACCATCAGTAGAAAGGAAGAGGCTGCTGCTAAAATCTTGCAGAAAGGACGATGTGGTTTGAACGAGGCTGGGGTCAGGACATCGTGGTCGGGCCAGTTATTTAAAAGTCATTGGTAAACACCGGGATGGTCTGTGTGGAAAGGAGGAATCAGTCGGTCATGTTGTCTTTGTGTGTGGTCAATACAGGAATGAGAGGCGACAGTTTTTCAGGGAGTTATCTGAGCTGACCCGGGACTCTGATCTTTCTCTTTTGAGTCCATATGTTCTGTTATCTGTTGGGGGCGCTGTTCTTAGATACTTGCACACTACAGGCCTGTGTCATAAGATGTGAATTCAGTACACACTCCTAGACTATAGAGGGCAGCATTACACTCTACAGTGTACAGCCTGAATACCATTAGAAGAAGAAGAAGAAGACTTGAACCAAAGTAAGGGTAAACACCTGCTACAAGTTCAGAGTCTTCAGCATTAAATAAAGTCTACAGAAACATATCAGTGACTTCAAATGTAATTATAGAATCACATGGACTCTTCCAAGTTAAAATATGAAGTCCCTGTTTTGGTTTCATCTGCACGTCTTAAGATCAGATAAATGTAGAATAGTTAAAGCACGTACACTGGAGCTGGAGTCATTGTCAAGGGAGTCGAGGCTCGGCCGTGGCGCCTTTTCTACCACTTCAGGTGGTTTTTTAACGGACGTGTCATGCCGTCTTGTTCTGGAAGAAACGATGGTAGAAAACAGAGACTGAGGCTGAAACAGGAAGTCCATCAATGAAAGTTAAACAACTTATACAGCATTTAAAACCAACATAAAAAAACTTTAATTTTTTAATATTTAATTGATTAACCAAATTAACCATGACTCTAAACTTCTGTGAAAATAAATTCACTTGGATTAAACTACAGTTACTAACCTGTATAGCGGCCACATATTCATGCCTCTGTTGTCCTTCTGGCCTGCCGTAGATGTTGCTCGCTCTGCCAGGTCTTTGAGGAAGTGGAAGAGCCTCTCTGACTCGATGCACTGCTTCCTACAGACAAACATACCTTCAATAACCCGTCTGCAGTTCATTTAAATACATTTGACATTTTTTCCAACAGAGCTGGCCAATCGAAGGAGAGTGGGCACGTGGGGAGGGCGGGGCCTTAAAGAGACAGCAGCTGAAATAAAGCGTTTCAGGGTGAAATGAGGGATTTTACAGACGCCAGTATCAGATAAATGAGGAGGTTTTTGAGGTTACACATCTCACAGAGCTCCTCAATACATGTCCCAGAGCGACATAATTAATGGTGAAAGTGAGTTTAATAGATCTCCTTTAAAAAAATGCAGCCAGTTATGAAGTAGAATAAGAAAGATGTAAGTTGTATTATGTTAATTTCAGTCTTTGTACACTTCAATATGTCTTCTCCTTTTTCTTAGGGGGCTGTGTTTCATGTTGTGAAGGTGTAAAAAACAGTTGTACTCACATGTGAGAGACTGACACGGCGGCGCTGTGCTTGGACTGAGTTACCAGACAGGTTTGGGTCAGCAGACACTTCAGGAACATCTCCAGCGCCCGAGCTGATCTCTGCAGTTCAGAACTTTACAGATCTTACACTCTGGTCTCAACACAGCTCTTCAACAACTCAAAGCACATTTTACAAGATTTAACTACAGCTACTATGAGATCAAGTTTCCTTTAGGGCAACAGCAGAAAAACACAGAATGTATCACCTTCAGGGGTTGTTTTGAATTATTTGTGCTGCAACGCTTTTTGTTAATTAATGCTTCAGTTAAAAGTAGCAGCGAGTCAAACAGAGCCAAGATGGCTTCAGGTGCCGTAGGAGAGCCTGGAAGAAATCCACCCGTTCAGGAATGTGGCCTAAGATAGGTCTGCAGCTTGATAATGTTTTCCTTCTGTGATCGTCAGAAGAAGAAAAAAAGCGTACATAATATTTTTTTTGAGGGAATAAAAAATGGTCAAGTGTAAGACCGGATATTCTCAACAGCACGCCAAAAGGTTTAAGCAATTTAAGCATACCTCAGATGTTTTGACATTTTATGAAGTTGCTTAAGCTTCAACCAAACCCTGAAACTGACACTTTTGATTTGAACCCTACACTTTATTAAAGGCCATACAGGAGGGACTACAGTTCCCAGCATGCTCAGGAGCCCTTCAGGAGGATGAAGGGAAACGCAAAAGGATAAGGGACTGCTGCAGAAGAAAATTAACAGAAGTCCAATTGAAAGCAGCAACACCTCAACAGCACAGATGAAACCTGCGCTTTAATTTACTGAAGAAGAAGAAGAAACAGCTGCAGGTTTAAAAGGATACAGATGATCACAGGAACGGCCATTGCAATCTTCCCCACCTCTGCATCCTTCTGCATGATCTTCTTGATGCGGCCCTGGGAGTAAAAACAAACATCAACATACTTTGAGAGTCATACAAATGAGAAGTCAGATGCTGCATTCAGGTGCTCCTGGTAAACCTCGGCTTCACAGATTTGAAAACATGACAAGATGTGAAGCACTTAGGGCTCCCAATTATAAAAGAAAAAATCCATGGAAATCTAAGTTTAGATTGCTGCCTATCATTGCTAATTTGTTTCCTTTTGGTTTTCTTACTCCCCTCTTTGGTTTTCTTTATTTTTCGGTAAATGTTGCGTGAGTTTCGACCTCGTAGGACCAGAGACAAACAAACATCTCATCTGTCAATTAGCCTACATATGAATTAAATGTTGTTTAATACAGCTTCAGAAGGATGTCCACTCTGCTTCCGGGTTTGCTTCACTGTACACACACCTCGTGAATAACAGAAACAAACAGCATCCAGTCGCGGTGTTTACCACTTTCACCAGGAATCCCAGATTTCCGACGCTCCCTGAAAGCAACAACTGCTACCTGCACTCCATGTTACCAGCGCTCACTCTGCCGCCAGCTTTATTTCACCTGACGTTTAACAAACACACCTGGATAAACACTTTTTAGTACTCACTGGAGGAAAGCGCACATTATATCTCCTCTTCTGTCCGGGCATCGTGCTCGAGTTAAGTCGCAAACTTTGACCACATTTTTCATTTTTTTAACGCAAACCGCCGCCGAGTCCATTTGTTTACTTTCAGCACGAAGAAAACCTGAAAACTGCACACAAACAAACACACACACACCTGAGGTCACCCAGCGTGACCCCGACGATGACGTCATGACCCCGCAGTTTACCGTAGTAAGCGATCAGTATGTGAATTACTATGAAAACGTCTGTTAATGTTTAAATAACGATTTCCCTAAATATGTATTCATCTTTAATTAATTAATTTTATTGCATTTTTATGTATTTTTTGTATAGGTTATATTATTTTTATTCGTTTATTTATAATTTCCTTTAAATACTCCATGTTATTATATTATATTAATCCCTCTTTCATTTGTTTTACAGGCACATGAACACAGAAACTTAAGAAACACACATGAGAAAAGTGCACATGTGACCGTTTACAAAACATATCCTTACATTTTTATTCATTTTTTGCTCCATTGATGTA